CTGTATTTGCACTTTGAACTGTTGAAATAAATGTGATTTTTTTTGTCTGATTATCTGGTTTCTGGTTTTGAGTGTCAGCTGTCATTTTTTATTCTTATAAAGAAAAGTACAGAAATCGTTAAATTATTAAGTTTTGTAATAAAAGGAGTAATTCTTTTTTAACTGCTTCATTTGCTGAACTTCTTTGGCAGTTTCAACATGTATTTATAAGGCTATGATTGCATGCAATTCCATTGAGCTAATAAGATGGAGGATATTGAGACAGCTCTTTTCTCTGTTTTGAAGGTGTATGTTTTCTGTGCAGATGGAAGAATAGAACTAAACTTTTTAGAGCTGATTTAATCTCATACCTAGATTTCAACTCGAAGAGTTGATAATTCTACCAAATTGTTATTCATAATATGGAGCCATTTTTGGGTAAGTTTCTTTTCCTTCTTTTGCAAACATAAAGAGATTCAAATAAGGATTCAGAAAGTTGAACTGAGACTATTCTGCTAGACCATGTTTTCTAATTTGTACCTAGACCATATGACCCTTTTCATTCTTTCTATCCCTTTCCCTTCCTGTGTGGGCGTGGTTTAAATGTTAGCTCTTAATTCTCAAACAGCGATCTGGGGGCTGTACTTAAAATCGTGCTGTTAATTATAAGCTATCTGTAGGAAATTTTATTCTCTACCCTCTGTTCTCTAATGTGCATGGAATGCACAGACGTTTTGGCTCAGTACTTGGGAGGAGGGTGACATCTACTGTTGGAAATGGTGCTAAACACCTTGGTTCACCTCATTCATTTTTTCATACTAGTTAACTTACTGAGCACTTAATGTATACCCTGACTTCTGCCATGAGCTTTTAATGTATGATTTCATTTAAGTCTCTGAGGCAAATGCCATTCTCTCCGTCTCTCTATGAGGGCATTGTCTGAGAGGTTAAGTGACTCAAGATCACAGGGCTAGCCTTTTGACTTCAGAAGCCGTGCTTGTGGCTACTACGCTCACTACACTGGAGACTTGCATCTTCTATAAAAATCTCAGGGGATGGGTCTCCAAAATTTCCCTTGTCATTATGTGCAAGCTTTTGAGAAGAAAGTTCTAAACCAGTAGCTACCCAGAAAGCAAGGCTCACGCAACACTTTAGTACAAATACATTTTAATATGATTTACTGGCCAGACCTCTTAAAATTCCCTGGATTGAACTATCTTCTCTATTACACTTGACAGACAAAAATGAAACAAGTAAGAAGACTAGAGTACAAATAAAATACATAGCTCTCCTACTCTAGAAAATAGCAAAATATTCTGTTTCTTGGGTTATCTATTTTGGATTTTACCAAAAGTAAAGATAGTGGTAATGAAGTAATTTGAAAGCTTGAGGTTAATATTGTAGCCAAAATGAATGTTAGAGTTACATCTGTGTTGTCCCAGTGAACTAGTATCTCACTCTTCTACATATCCTGGCTAAAGACATTTAGACCTTTAAAAAAGCCTGGGTTTGCAGTGTGTCACGAGACCTCCCCTGTCCCACATCTCCCATTTCTTAGGCTCTTCCGTAAAGCCTAGGGCGGTTAAATCCATGTTCAAGTCCCATATCCCCCCAGCTGGAGAAAGACCCGAAACCATTCGTGAGCAAGGGGGCAGAGGGTTGTATGTTCATCTCTGAGGATTTAACTCCCAATCCATTCTAAAAGACTAGCATCTCTGCCAATGTTCGGAATAGTGGCACGCCATTGGTCACATGAATGGCAGGGTACTGGCAAATGCTGACATTCTTATATAAAATCACTAGAGGACCATTTGAAATGTCTTTAGAGTACTGCTGAAGTCCACGTGTCAAAAGCAAGGGGATGTGGGAGGCTAAAATGCACTAACTGAAATTACCTTAAGCCTACTAGGAAAATAAGCAAAACTCCGGGGACAGATGCATGCTCGCTGTGTATGGAAAGGAAAGGGCTGGTGGCAGAGAAGAGGATCACAGGACACGTAAACACAGGAGCTGCTTGCTCATGGACTGAAACCAGCACTGCAGGGACAGGAACAGGAGAGACAAAGCTGCAGATGCCCTCATAGCAGGTCTCATTCCTTTGCTCCAGATAAGTCATTTCACTTCCTGGAAAGCCTTTTCCCCTCCTCTTCCTCTAAACCCATTTCCTCACGTATGAAATGAGGATAATAGTAATTCATAGGAGTTTTGTGAGGATTAAGTAAGATCCTCCATGTGAAGTATGTATGTGTTGCTGTGGGCAATAAACGTTAGCTATTCGTTCTGTTAAAAACTCCATACCTTTCCCTACTTTTAAGGACCTGGCTCAAGCCTCCCTCCACCGCCCCCTCCTTCTTACTCCTATAAGGTCTTATTCCCGCTTCAGGTGACCGCAACCTCTCCCCACTCTCCCCACGGTGGGTTCTGTAACACTCGTCTCTATCACTCCTTAGCACAGGCTACTATGTGCTGCTACCTCTTTTTAGCCAAAGTTACCTATTTTGCACTATGTACTATTGTACCTTTGCTCATGCTAATCTCTCAGCCTGAAACAGAGGCACAGCGAGGGTTATTAATATGATCAAAGGCCTGCAGGTCATGAGCGGCTAAGCTGCCTGCAGGGCAGGCTGGGATTTTCCTATTCTCTGTATTTTCCTCCATATCCTTTGCACATCTGATGTGATGGATGCCTCCTATGTTATAGGAGTTCAAGAAATGTTGATCGATTAAAAAAAGAGGAGAGCACACAACAGCACCTTAATGTAGGATTTGGCAACTGTGCTGCCATTTTAACAATCAATTGAGAAAGTCTTAAGTAAATAACAGCAAATGCTGGGGAGAGCAGAGGGCAAAGGGGGATGCCCGTTGAAGTACATGCCAAAGGTGAAAGAAATTCTGCATCGGGGCTGCCTGGGTCAGTTGAAGTCTGCTGCACTTTAATGTTCTGGCAGCTTAGAGTTTGACTTCAGTAACATAGATTCTTATGGAGTATGCTGCTTGGTATGTGTAGAGGGCACGCGTGTCTGTCGAATTTGACAAAAGATTGTGTCCACCTTATAAAGAAAATTTTAAATTTTGTTTAACCTTTTGGCAGATTTGAATGCGCCTTCTTGTAGCCCATGGAGATTCAGTGAGCTTTCTTTGCTATAAAATAATTCATCTGCTAGTAACAGAAGAAGTAGAGAGTAAGAAGTAAGAATAGGGCATTGGTTACTGCTCACGAGTAGGTGATGCACTGTTAGCATACAGAGTAGCAGTTGGAGCTACTCAGCCCTTACACTTCCTTACCAAGGGAAAATGATCTGTCGTTGGGAAAAGAAGCAAGATTGCCCTGCTAAGATTGAGAACTGAATCCCAGGAGAGAGGAGGAGATATTTAATCAAGTGCCTAATAGCTTTAAATGCACTTTGAAATTTCCAAGTTCCTGAGGGGGGAAAGAATTTGCAAATATGATTGTGAAACCATTTTAGATAATCAGGCAGCAAGAGAGTCTTTTCAGCCTTTGTCTTTTTCTATAGGTTGGGTTCAGTTTCAATCTCTGTCTCGGGAAAAATATATCCTGATGCCCAGATTCATTCTGGGAATCAATTCTGGAAAAACGTTTAGGATCCACGGTTCAGCAGGTAACCTTAGAGTCTGTCTGTTCTCAGCCTCATGCCCTCTTGATCCATGGCCTCCTCAGTATCCAGAGATACCCTAGCCTCTTCTGTTCAATTTCTTCTCCCTTCTGGTGATCATTTTCTAACCTCTTCTCTTCTTTTTTATTTATTTTTTTTTAATTTTTAATTTTTTAATGTTTATTTATTTTTGACACAG